TGACAAGCTCCATCTTTCGTTATAAGATAATTTAAAAAATAAAATATAAACATTTGAATTATTAATTACATTACCATGTGGTTTTGAGGACCTATGGTGTGACAGAATAGTGGATTATGTGAAAAATGTCTCAAGTGAAGTGTCATCTCTGTTTTCTCTTTTTTTTATTTCATCGTTAACATTTCGTAAAACTTTCATTTGCAACTAAATTCAAATGGTTCAATGACAACAAAGGCCTTTGCTGAGAATTTAAGTAACCATGGCAACCTTGCTTTTTACTGCTATTGGCTTTGTATTTTTCGTAATTTTTCCGCATAACGGAATAGTTTGATTAAACATTTTTTTATTAATATTAACGTAAATTACGAAAAGAGGAGGCATATTTGGTGAAACGGGTAGGTAATTTCCTCGACTGTACTATATGTATGTTTCCAGGAGTCGTCTGCGGACAACTCGGCGACATCAACTCCGCTAAAGACATGGGAGCGCTCCGCCACGCTGCCGCACAGGCTGCCCGCCGCCTGCAATGGCAACACTCGTAAGTAACTCATTTAACCCATTTTTTAATTTATTGAAACCATTGTGAGACATTACTATATTACTATCTGTTCCAATGCGGCTTCATACACATGAAATTATAATAACTATTATTACTAGCTTTCGCCCGCGACTCCATCCGCTTGGAATTAAAAAAAAAAACAAAAGCAAATAGCCTATGTGTTCATCCAGACTATCCTCTACATTTACTATGTTTATGCCAAATTTCATCGAGATCAGTTCAGCAGTTTAGGGTACAAACTTTCAAAAACATAAAAAAAATAAAATAAAAATCCCTTATTGATCCAAAACAGTTTAGTACAGTTAGTGGGACTCTGTCTCCTGAGCTAGTGATAACTGTGTTTCAGGAGGCAGCGTCTTCTTTTAATGATTGTCTTGCGGAATTTAAAATACATTGTTACAAAATAAGATTAGATAACATCCATCTAAACTTTCACATTTATAATATTAGTTAGATTAGTTAGATAGTAAGATAAGATTTAAATAATTATTACTCTAATAAAAAGCCCTACACTTACACGCTTTAGACTATATATTTTCACACTATTAAACTTATGGGGTAAATAAATTGGAAAAATCCTACATATGGGAAAGGGGCCATAAACTACAAGCTGCCAACATTAAGGAAGCAAACGGTAATTTTGGCATTTTTCTAAAGTATGTTCTATATATTTCCAACTTTAGTGAAAAATAAGATTGTTTAGATGTACAGGTTGTTTGAAAATTCGTAATAATTTAATTTTTTTAATATTTTTTCCAGCGAATTCTGAATCCCCGCAACAGCCGCCGCAGTCTCCGCGCTCCGTTCGTAAGCGCTTCGGTTCCGCCAGCGAGGAAACTATACTCAAGGTTCATAATCTATACTATTATAATAAAGCGTTAACACACACTTCTTTGTTGCCTAAGATGTCAGCAATTACACCATATTTTTGAATAATTCTCTCTTTAATAAAAAGTCCTACACTTATGTCACGCTTTAGGCTATATATTTTCACGCCATTAAACTTAGGAGTTAAATATTTTTAATAAAGACCCTAACGTGGGAAAGAGACCATAAGTTGCTGCAAACATCAAGGAAGTAAGGTTGTCATGTCATGTCATTTTGACATTTGCAATTGATAGTTTGTCACATGTAAATAATAAAATCAAGTTTTCATAATTTTATGCGGATGAAGTCACACGGGAATAGGTAGTTTTCTATATAATCAGTTAACTTATTTTGTAGTTTTCTATACATGATTTTAAATAACTAAGCTTTTTTTGTAGAGGGATGATTTTTATATAGTTTTATCTCAAACTTTATTCCGCGTACAATATTTAAAATTCAGATTTTTGGTGATGTAATTTTTCAACTTGCAACAAAAATGCTATTTTTTGGTTAATTCACATAAAAAGAGATAATTGATCATTTCCTTAAAATACAATGTTATGTCTTATTTCGCAACATGCTGTATTTCACATCTTTACCAAATATCTATGCCACATATACGCGCTAATTACGATTATATTAATTGTTTAAATTTTTGTATGTATGTACGTATGTATGTATGTATGTGTGTGTGTGCAGCAGGTAAACGGCGGCGAGGGCGGCTGCGTGTCTGCAGCGGAGTGGGACGCCTTCAAGCAGGACGTGCTGCGCGAGATGCGCACGCAGCTCAACCAGATCAAGAAGGAGATACTAGATGGTACACTCTCTCTCTCTACCTCCCTACCTCCCCTCTTCCCACTCTCTCCGCCTCCTTCCCTCCCTCCCCTATCTAACAGCGGGCGAACACCTTTCACTAAACTTAATATATATTTAATATATTATTTATTTCTTCATATTTTTTAATGTCTAGGTTAAGTCACCCTACTTATGTGTTAATACTTATGTGTAAAGGGGCCAGCTGAAAACCAGCACAGTCCCTGCATTAGCTGAGCTTGCCACCTTTTGCCACATTTTCCTCTCTTTTTTATATTATCTCTAAGGTTTTGTGCATTAAATGTTTATGTAGTTTTTTTGTGGCAATAAAAATTCTATTTATTTATTTAAACTTTCGCACAACAGTTATGCGGTTATCGACAGTTTCACAATAACAACTAAAAATCAAGTAGTGTCCTTCAAAACTCATAAGAATCAAAGTGAGAAACAGTACTGTTATGGTTTAGTCAAAGTTCGCACCAACATTACTAACGAGACAAACGGTTATATAGGGTATGTGAAGCTTTTGCCCGCGACTCCGTTCGCGTGGTTTTAAAAAAGTGTGTATGTGTTTTTCCAGAGTAAGCACTACATCTATGAAATTTCGCATTCATAATATTAATAAAATTTAATAATGAACCTTATTGTTACAGCAATGAAGGCGGAATTCGCGCGCAGGTAAAGGCGGGGCGCGCGCAGAGTGAAACTAGTCTGCCGGACAGCGGTGAACATTTATTTTGTTAGAATTACGAAAAACGGACAAATCTTTTGTTTTATTATTACATTTTTTGTATTTGATATATGTCAACTGTCACTTTGACAGTTGTCGACTCTGTCGTTTATACTCTATGATTTGTATTGACTTTTTAAGAATGAAAGTAAAAATTGTTATGCCATAAGGAAATTGGCTGTAAATTAAGAAATCAGAAATATTAAGCTGATTTAAAAATATGATTTGTAATACAATTTATTTTGGAAATGTTTTTAATTTCAAAAAAATATTGATTACGAAAGGAGTAAAATTAACATTTTTAGATTTATTTAACTTTTTTTTTAATTCAAAAAAGGAATCATTTTTGTGTTATTTTTTTAATGTATTTAAAAATAATTGTTCATCGTTGCCTATAATGGTATTATGTGATTTATTGATGTATTAGGGTTGCCAGCGTCAATATTACTAAATGATGGCAACATTCGACGGACGTCTAAGGTTTATTTCTTATACAGAGTGTGTAATTAGTAATTATTTGTGATAAGTAAATGATCAGAAACATGTTAGTTTTAAAGTTTTTTTACCTCTGTATAAGAAAAAAACGTTCCAATATTAGCGCACTAATTCCAGCATAAACGCTACTTGTGTTTTTTTAATTTTATACTTAAAATATATTTATTCCAATGCGTATTAGTAAGGTAACGAATTTTTAATCATTCATTCACTGTTTAGATTTAAAAAACATCAATTTTACAGGCAACATTCGAATCGATTTTTTTAAATCGATTTTTTTCCCGATTGTTTCAAGATTTTTTTATTTTAATAGATTTAAACAGTGAATGTATAGATATATTCATATGTAATTCACTTAGACTTCAAGGTATTTTAAAAATATAGTATTAATTGGTATTTATTGAAATCGACGACGCGGGTCTATATTAGTATAAGATCTTTTATAACAAGGCTTCGATACTAATCTTAATCTTAACTAGCGTTTCCCCGCGAATCCGTCCACGTGAAATTTAAAAAAATAGCTTATGCCTTCCAGACTATCCTCTACATCTATTATTATCTAGTTTAAACATCCATCCATCCAAACTTTTAAATCGTATTTGTTATAAATGTAAAAAGTTTAGATGGATGTTTGTTAGAATTTGTAAGCCGAAAGAAAATGGATGAGTGGAAGAACATACGCTATTTATTATTTTTTTCACGAAGGCAAAGTCGCGGGGAAAGCTAGTACTAAATAAATGCGGAAGTTTATGGTAAATTGCTATGTAAATTTTTACCGCCTTATGAAAGGACTTATACAAGTAAAACCGCCGTCGTCGCTTGTATGAGTAAGGAACTATATATAGAAATATGTATGTTATTGTTTTACTTCTCGTGTTGGGATTATTTAAACAATGTAATATTTATAGTCTTCCAAAAAATGGTGATTATTTTGAAAAAAAAAAATATTTTTTTTTTTATTTTTTTCTGTCAAAATTTTTTTGAAATATTAAAGTAATAGAGATTTTTAAATTCAGTTTTAAATGCGATTATTTGACTTTTCAGTTAAAAATTGCATGTAACAAAACTTGATTTAGGTTTTTATTGGCAATACAAATTTGTTGCATAAATGAAAAAATCTTGTTTATGACTAAGAAACTTAATTTTAAAAAATACCACTTAATTCCATTTTTTTATTTTGATAAAACGTATTAAGCCAAACTAGTTACTAAGCGATTTCCAACACGAGAAGTGAAATTAAAAAATAATGTATCACCGTATAAAAATATTTAAGCTAAGAAGTACATGTGGGTAGTCATAAAACCATTACCTATAGACTAGTATATAAGTATAGGACTGATAATTCATTCCAGGCTCATAATCGGCCTATATAATATGGATTTTTTCTTTACATATACGATTATTTTTTCAAATCCTCTGTTGAAGTTTTCCAATGCTGAAACGGAACGCATTTAAAACATCCAGTTATACAAAGATCCTTGTAACATTAAATTAATTATCTGTGTTAAACGTCAAATGCAGAGGCTATCTCTTTCTTACCTGTGTATTTGATGCGTCTGTCTCTTTCAGTTTGACAGTTTAGTAAAAAAGGTCCTATGTAAACATTTTATTCAATAATCCTTAGTGATATTTATACAACTATGTAATTATAGGTTATGTATAGTATTAAAATTGATATAAACTAACCAAATTTTAGTCGGTTTCACTAATTTTATATACGATTTTTATTTTGTATTGGTCTCAATAATATCAAAGAATATTTATTGTCTGTTTTTGATATCTTATACGCGACTATAGTCGTATAAGGATGTCTGGCTCGATGATGTGCATAATCGGTTCGCAGTCAGACATCTAAAATTCAGGAAATTAAAAAAAACTGCTACAGTACGAAAACATTGACAGGTTGTCATTTGTCAGCAAAATCCAGTTTGATGTATTTCCATCGGGCCAGATATCTTGGTAGGTCTATACTGACATTTGCTGTGTTTTTGATATGTATTTTTTAGGTTATCTATTTACGTAAAATGAGCTTAGTTTATAAATAGCTTTTTAAAACATTTGCGTTTGACGCGTGAATACCCGCCAATTTTTATACCGCGTGACATTTGATTTTTTTTTTATTAAATTTTCGACAAAATTGTACATCGAATACTTCTTTGATTATCCGTATTTAACTTTTTTGCCTAAAATATTAATTAAGCATTTTATATGTTGTGGCAATTTTCTACCGTTTGGTACATTTTTTATGTAACTAGGGATGTGCGATGTTGAAGTTATCGATTAAAATCTTCGATAAATCATTATATATTATGTCTTTCGTATAACATATGTTTATATTAACATATATATGGTAAAAAAATTACGAACCTGGACAGTATTCAATATTCCCTAATAATTAAAAATGTCAGATTTAAAACCACTCATTCATATGTAAATATATTTTTTTTGTGATGATTATTTTGTTTTCTTTTTATATGCTTATTGATTTACCTTTTTTGTTTCTGTGTGTTTTAGATTTATTGTATACTAAAAGATTTACTTATTTTGAGGTTATGTTGGTGACATTTATAAAAAGTATTATTAGGCCCACCAGATTGCAAACTGTCTGATAATAATCCAACGTGTATAATGTGATGGAGATATCGGATTTTGTTACCTTATCTGACAGTGACGTCATTAAGCTATCTGAGCCTCTATCAGCAAGTGGTAGGACAGGCCCTTAATCTTTTAGTATAATAATAAATTTATGAGTATTCGTATATATTAAAGAGTGTAAATTTTCATCATATTCAATGTTGTAGAATCTTTGTATGTATGAAATGCATTTATATCGAAATATTTCTTCAGCTAAGATATGTCTACTGAATTTAATGAAAATTAGTGTCTGCCGTTTACCAATATTTTTAGCTGACATTTAACAAAAATAACCTGTTAAAATTTATAACCTCGTGTTCTACGATTTTTACAGTGACATCTATTGGCTGTGAACTGAACATTATAATTGAAAACAAAATTAAGTAGACATATCCAGCTAAAACATAACTCCTTTAACTCCTAGCTTTCACAAATTCCTAGTTTTCCGCAAAGTGATTTATCGCTCGTAGAGTTTATTTTCGTTACACAATACCACAGATTATAAACGCATTGTTTTAACAGCGAAAATGGCGCGCGAAATACATTTGCCGGAAAACCTTACTAGTTTTTCGTATTCCATTCCTAATAAAAGGAAGGATAATTTTTAAGCTATTAAAAATAAACGGTATTTTATGTGTATTTCGAATTTGACATTCGATCGCGCGCCATTTTTTATAAAAATGGTTTCTGCCACAGACTAAAAATGTACACGTAATGATCTCGAACGTTACAGACTAAGCAGTGATTGTCGGTGTACATACGCTGGAGTCAATAAACTGTACCTAAGTGAAATTAAAATGTGTTGTTTTATTTAAAAATCCTGATCTTCAAGTTTGCGAAAATACCTGAATTTTCATATTTGATACCGGGGGCTATAAATCACATTGAGTAACTACAACTGCAATCGACTTTATTAAAATTAGTCCGTTTACTTGACCTTTGACTGATAATCTTTACATCTAAACAAAAGGCGACTTTAACGAAAATATTGCTATCCTTGAAAGTATGGATTTCTCGAATACAAGTTGGAAGGACAACATATAAAAATATTTTGATTTTTTTTACTACTTTTCCCCATTAGTAAACACAGTAAAAGGTACACTTACAATTTTAAATTTGATATAGAAAATCAAGCTTTTAAGGGTTAGGTAAATGAAACAAATAACTTAAAAAAAGGCTTTTTATTAAAAAAGAAAATAATATTGCAGAAAACAATGCCAACATCAATAAATAATTTTTAAACTTTAGTCTGATTCAACCTTATTAATGTTTACAACAACAACATATATATAAAGAGTACAAATATTTTCTGTAACACAAACAACGTCTATTCAACATAACATTAAAAATATTTCGAAAATACAGTTTTAGACATTTTGTACTAAAAATTGCAACATTCTCCTTCCCAATAGATGACAGTGACAGATCAGTGTTGCCAGGTAATCGTTAAACTACCATATCGGTAGGATTTAGTACAAAATACAGTCATAAGTGATCTCAGACACTCGTCGGAAAAGAAAATAATACATATTTGAAAACTAGGTGGTCACTAGTATGGCTGTGAAATTCTAGTATTTATCGAAGCTTCAAGCGCAAGTGATTTTATTCGGTTACTTATTGCACGTTTAATCACATGTGCGAAGCACTTAAATACTAATTTATATTCGAATTATAGTAAACATACATAATCTATGTTTTACGTCAAAATTAAAATAAAATTTAACGCGGTTAAATAAGGTTATGCTTTTAAATATCTTTTAAAATCATAAAATGTCTTCAAAATCAAGGTCGGGCATCAAAATTAATCTTTTTTCATTAAATAAATCTGACGTAAAACATAGGAATATTCGATTTATTACGAATTCATAATTTGTGCATAAACAACATAAAAACGTATAATGGTAACTATATCAAATATTGTCGTAACCTTGAGATGTGAGGTAGCGGTATATTTGTGTAGAAATATTCGCTGTGGTAGACTTTGGTAGGATACGGTAACTCCGGTGCTGGCTCTAGCGTTTTCTAACCTAATCTAATTTGTATGAAGCGGATTAATTTAGAATATAAAGGACGAATTTTGGGAAACATCTACTTTTTAACTCTTAAATCTAAATATGTAAAGAATTAAATCGTTCGATATTACATTAATTTA